TTTAGAAGAAGAGCTCCATATAAAGATATACAAAAATAATCAAATTTTAAAACTAAAATGTATGAAATTTTTGTTTGCCAAATGATAGTTGACAGCTTAAGATATCATATCTAAAAAAATAAGTTATATCTGATGGTTAATTTGTTGACCCCCCAGCCTCCTTAATATTAAAGTATTAAAGACTGAAATGTGATTTTGAAGCATTTCATCCTTAGAAAATGAGCTCTCAATATAAGGTTGATTTCTAGTGCCCCTTCAAAAGTTGTGAACTTTGTGACCCTTAGGTCAAGGGTTCTGGTGGTAGGAGTGGGGACTCTGTTGATTAAATAGAGAAGATGCATTGTTTCTTTGATTTTTTTCTCTAGCAGGTAAACTAAATGCATGGTTATAATTAGAAAGGGTACCTCTTGTGAATTTCATATCCCCTGGTCAGGGGTTCTAGTTTTAGGTTGGGGCTGAGTGGAATCTATAGTGAAAATGCATTATTTCTTCGAAAACCTTCTCTCTTCCTGGGCATCTAGGGTGCAAATAGAATACAAAGTTGTATTAAGCAAAGGTATTTTTACCAGATGTTTGAAATTCTGGACCACTTGGTCAAGCATGCTGGTGCTAGGCAGGGCTCTATTTTGTATTCTACTCATAGAAGTTATTGTCCTTTGCTATGCACCCATGATAATTAGTCACTGTAAATAATGTAATTTTAAAATCAATTGAATAAGAGAATAAAACACGGATTTTTATTACATACGTATAATACAAAAAGTACTTCCAGATTTTTTAATGGTCTGATAGATTTGTTAATAAGAGATAAATAAAATGAAACAATTATATCTTATCTTTGTACATTAAATGTTCTTCAAACACCGAGATCCACTGTAAATTTTTTATTTTGGAATATTTGGAATATTTTCAACCCTACAATAATAGCAACATAGAACAACACATAGACATACATAAATAATACAAATACAAAACAAACAGATAGACGCATCTTTAAAACAGAACTATTTATTATTTATTACTTATTATTATTTATCGATCAGTTTAATTAGCTCTTTAAGCCGTTATACTTCTACTCCCAATTTATATAAATATTTCATAATAATACGGTATTAACATTAATCAAATCTGCTAAATGGCTGTGTGATGCGTACAGTGTGTGTATTTGTCTGTGTCTGTGCTTGTCACTCTCGCTTTCAGCACCACCCCTGGCCAGAAGTTTACTCGAAAGAGTAAGCAAAATGTGTAAGTCTTCTCTGCCAGGTATAGCCTCTACGCAGTTAAATGTATGTGGCCCAGATATGGGACTCCTCCTCGAGGTAGCAGATGGGAATTGGGTATCTTACGGCCCCGAGCAGAACCACAGGGTCTTGGAGGAAACTAGACCCCTAAATGCACGGTATGCATGGCCCAACGGTGATTGGATATGCCCTGATACCTGCAAACCTAGTTCCCAGCTATAGGTTAAATAGCTCCACTGCCTGGTGGATGGCTTGGGAAAGTCAAAGGCTATGGAAGAAAATCCAAACATAAAAGCTAAGAGAGGAAACTTTGAACACACTGTTGTTACAACTGCATTATTCGCACAGGCATAAATGCAATGGTGAATTTAATTCTAATTAGCATCACATTATACATTTTTGAACAACCTTTATTAATCTGAGCAAATGAAATTTATGCAAATTTATTAGTACTTTCTTTTTTCACACAGTCTTTATGTTACTTTTAAAGTTTAGATTTTATCAAGTTAAACTAATCTGTAACTTAAAGTCTAGACTGTTCTAGACAAGTTTAACTTGATAAAGTCTAAACTTTTAATGTGAAATTTGTAATTAAATGTATTAAAATTTAACCCCCCCCCCCCCCAAGTACATTGAGGCCATTGCAACAAAAATGTATTTTACAAGCAAATAAAGAAATCATTCAAGACACACTACTACTTCAAGTACGTGTATTAAAAATCATTAAAGAAAGGCGACTCAGTTTCCTGAAATTCGTAAAATAATAATAATAATAATAATAATAATCCTTGTTATATAACAGTATGTAATTTGTACTAAGACTTGTCTTAAGATTTTTTACACTTAAGATATTTTTGTGAAAAGGTAGTGACATGGCTTAAGCTTATGATTGTCATAAGTCCTGATTATGATTGTCTAAAGGTCTGTCTTTGGACAAATCTTAACGATAGTTCTGCGAAACCCAGAAGACCTATTTCGATAAGATTCTGGATAATGTGTAAGAAACATATATATTTTATCAAAATCGTATATTTTTATGGAAAACAAAGAAGTACAAGAATAATATTTCCTAACAAGCTTGCTATTTGTTGCAAAAATATAAGCTAGTTAAAAAATCACCGGTGTTGTAAAGTAGGATTTCCCAGAACCAGCTTTCCCACCGGAATCTGTTCTCTAGAGTAGCACTTTCCCTTGATGGGTAAATTTCACACTGGAGCCATAGTAAAATGAAGTGTATGGCAACTGTTTTTTTTTTTACATAATTTATAAAAATTAACAAATTTAGGAAATATCAGGTTTAAAAATCTTATTAGTTTTTAAATAACCGATTTTTTAAACGATTTTTCAAATGATGGGTAGATAGACGTCGTAATAGTGTGTTTTTGACGTTATGAATAACCGAAGCTGTTTAAAGCGGGGTCATTAATTATGTCATAAAATAAAAAGTATACAATAGATGCTCTTGAAATTTTAAACATAGGAAATTGAGAATCTCACAATCACTTTTATATTTTTTATGTAAATCTGCGCTATCTGTCATGTTTTGTTGTACTCCATAAAAACAGGAAAATACTATGAATTTTGACATATTTAGATGCCCCCTCTGGAAACCAGGCGGTAGAATTTTGTGTTTCTTGCATAAAATGTACAATAAAGCATTACCCAACAAATAGTATAATTTGAGCAAAAAGTCTATAGTAGCATTTGTATAATTTGCTCTGAAGTGCGAAAAAAGGTATTTTCCTATATAATTCTATAGTAAATGTACCTGTATTTTGAGATGGTCCTTATAAAATAATCAGACGGTAGATTTTCACTAAACTTGGCATGTATACTGAAGTCAATGTAAGGTACATATGGTATAAAATTAAAGAGTTTCTCTATAGTAGTTTTCACACAATAAAACTCCAGTCGGCTCCCTTAAAAGAAACCCATTGCAATAGGTAGCATGACCTAAGGCACATTCTGAGCTGAAACATATTTGTATAATTGCATATCTGGTCATACTAAGATATAGATGTTGAGTCTAATATGACTTATTTTTGGATGATAATATTACCATTTGATTAGATTTTTACACAATGTTCTTGGTTATTTAATAGTTCAGTACATTTAGCCCATGTGTATACTACGATGATTTTGAAGTTTCAATGGAGTTCAGAAATCAGAAAACATAGAGTAAGTGAATAAGATTTAGAATTATTGACATATTGTGACAAAATTGAATTTTACTGCTTGTTTTCTGATTTCCAATCTCATTTGATTATTGACTGATTAATTGATTTATTAAATGACTATTTTACCAAATAACCAGCGAACCATCCAACCCCCCTACCTAACCCTCTCGTGAATATACACTCTTAACTTATTTCAACGTTGGTTAAATTTCATTTTTCCCCTAAAAGTCTTAGTTATAACATCTTTGTTTTTTTTTTTTTATATTGGAGCAATATTATTACCTAGATCAACATCAAGCACCAAATCTAAACAAAAGGGTTCAAGTTCAATTTGAAACAAAAACTTATAGTAGTTTAAATACAGAAATGAGACGTACTCGAAGCATTACTAGTATTTTGTGTTATTTTCAGTGCTATATTTTATAAACTGAAAAAAATCATAGTGTACCTAAAAACGATTTATTAAAAAAAAATAAATTCAAAATACCCCCACTTAAACAAAACAGATCTAACATTCATATTTTGAAAATGTAAATTATTTCAGCTTTTATATGAGGAATGGAAAAACAGATCAAAAGAAAAAAAATCAATGAACATGAAAAATTGAAGCAAAGCGAAAGGGTGGTGGTGTCATTTCAAAGAAACACGTTTCTGACAATATGTCACTAATGAACATAATTGCCTCTTGTACATCAGGAGCCTTAGATGCATGTCTTTTCCTTTTTTTGTGCAAAATAATTTTAGAAACTTAGCAAATGATGAATTTCTTTCAATTTTTATTATAATCAAATTGACAATTTTCATGCTTCACAGATATAGCCACCAAGGCGTGTACCATTATCACAGGGGACGGCGTGGAACGTGTACCGTTCTCCCGCATAAAAGAACATGCAATCCTGAGGAGAACTGTCAGATCCATTGGGTTCTCCGGCACCAAAGGCATGATACGTCATCTTGGCCATTTGTCAATGTTTGATCCATCTCCAATCACCCCCGGGCTTTCTTCTGTTTATGTTTCTTCCCCCAACATAGAAGTGAATTCCTATAAAAACCCAATAAAAACAGAGCATGAATATGCTTATGTTTCTTCCCCAACATAAGAGCGAGATCTCATTTTTCATTAAAGTCAAATTAGTAAGGTATTGAAAAGGTCGTTCTCTGATTGGACCAAAAAAAAAGATATAAATTAAGTTTGAAATAAAAGAAATATAAGTAAATAAAAAATGGTATCCATGAAATTTAAACTTAGTACCTGTCTTCATTTTCTTCAAAATCTTTTTCATTCGCAAAGCCTCTTCTAGAGTTTCAAAGTTGGCCAAATAACCAACAGTGTCTAAACAGTTTGCCTTTAGGATATAATCCAGAAAACAACATTGAATGATAATTTTTTTATCAAAAGTAATAGTTTTTCTACTACATTATCTATATATTCATTCCCAAATCCGCTTCTACTTACAAATGCTGTGTCTGCTGATACCCTATCCTTCTTGATCAGATAGCAAGAATCCCACATCTTTTTAAACTGTTCAGGGCATTCACCTTTGTTAAAAAAAAGGATTGATAAATGTGGGCATAAAATTAATCAAGAATATAAAATCCGAACATATCTGGAGCTGGGACCCTTCAGAGACTCTACAATCAATACAAATAGTGAAAAACAAATTAAATTTCTTTTTTTTTATTATGCATTATGTGTCTCTTCGTAATTCTTTAAGTCTTGTGTAAGCTTCTTCGTGTAACTGAATATCCGGATCCTTTAGGCTTTTATATTCTACTTGTACTTTATTTTTACATTTCAAAATGTCTGAAGAAAATATATTTCAATATGAAATATTTTCATTCACAGAATATTATCTCCTTTATTCCATAAGAAAACCATTGTCGTTTATCAGTCAGTAAACACCGCTTGACAGCATTTCTCCTCTCCAGATTTCTTGAGCAGTGGCTGTTCCATCAATGAAAGGTACAGCGACATACATATCAATAATACAGTATTCAATCTACTTAAGGAGGGATTCCTCTCATATTTCTTGTATCTAAAAATTAATGAAATTTTCATAGATTCAAGAAGACATTATCACTAAGTGATGGTACCAGTTAGATTGAATTTGATCGTTTTATTTTAGAAGCAAGGTCAGGTCAAGATCATCATCTTTTTCCTTAACATTTAGAGTAAAAAATTACTGTTGCTAATCATGTGATGCTTACTTCTATTTTAAAAGTTAAAATGTTTTTCTTTTTGCACAAAAAATGTTACCAATCCAGGTCTATCAGATGATTCTTCCAAATTAATTCATGAAATTTAACTAAAGGAGATATTGGCTAATCCGAATTTCCTCTGTATTTCTTAATGTTTTAGGATATATATTAGTTATTTTTATATACTTCTTATATTTAAATATTTCTTATTTTCACATATGGTAAAGTAGCCATATAAATATACAAAATGATACAAAAACAACAAGAGGCCCATGGGCCACAACGCTCACCTGAGTAACTTTGGCCTTGCTGTTTTTCACCTGATCCCCCCCCCTTGTAATACTTATTGTAGCCCTGCCCTACCCCCAGCGGTCATGATTTAAACAATTAGAATCTACACTACTCCAGGATGCTTCCACATAAGTTTCAGCCTTTCTGGCCCAGTGGTTCTTGAGAAGAAGATTTTTAAAGATTTTTTTTCTGCATATTTCAATGTAAAACTTTGATTCCCTATTGTGCCCCCCCCCCCGGGGTCATGATTTGAACAATTTAGAATCTACAGTACCCTAGGATGCTTCCACATAAGTTTCAGCTTTTCCGGCCCAGTGGTTCTTGAGAAGAAGATTTTTAATGACCCCACCCAATTTTTGTCTTTTCTTGATTATTGCCCCTTTGAAGAGGACTTAACCCTTCATTTTAACAATTTAAACTTCACCCAAGGATGCTTTGTACCAAGTTTGGTTAAAATTGGCCCAGTGGTTCTTGAGAAGAAGTTGAAAATGTGAAAAGTTTACAGACGGACGGACGACGGACAACGGGTGATCAGAAAAGCTCACTTGAGCTTTCAGCTCAGGTGAGCTAAAAAGCTTTGACCGTTTAATAAGTAAGAGAAAACACTTTTTACTGATTTTTTGCTCAAATTTGATTTTACATCGGAAGCTTTCAAAAGCTAACAAGATTGTAGTTTGTTTAGAAAATCATTATTATTTGCAATAGTTTAAAATTTTAGGGCATTATTATTAATTTTAGCTATTTTCAAAATTTCTTTAATGTCGATACGATATATCCTGGTGAGCTTGAGATAAAAGATACCACAGAGTCTGACACATCTGTTTCATATTTGGATATTTTACTTGAAAAAGACGTTAATGGTAATCTAACAACCAAGCTTTATGATAAACGTGATGACTTTAACTTTTCAATCGTCAACTTTTCTTACTTATGCAGCAATATACCTTCATCACTTGCATACGGGGTATATATCTCTCAGTTGATTCGATACGCAAGAGCATGCTCTACGTATGTACAATTTCTAAAAACGAGGTAAATTATTGACAAACAAGTTGATGAAACAAGAATATCAGCTGTCTCGTTTAAAGTCATCATTTCGTAAGTTCTATGGTCGACACAATGACGTTGTCAGCAAATACAATTTATCATTGAGTCAAATGCTGACTGACGTTTTTCATACTAATTGTTAGGCCATTATTTACACACTGAATTGTCGACGGATTTTCCCGATCATGACAAGGAGCACACGGCGGGTGTGACCGGTCGGCAGGGGATGCTCACTCCTCCATGGCACCTGATCCCACCTCTGATGTTTTGGAGGTCCGTGTTTGCTCTGCTCCTATTTTGTATTGTTTAATGGACTTTTGAGCTTGAATAATGTTCGTTATCTCCATATATTTCGTTTAAGTCTTTGATATTTTAAAACAAATTAACTAATTGTATTGTTCTGTAAGTGATTTTGATAGGCAGAAAAGGAGATATTTCATACATCGCAGTTGCGCCAATAATATAGTCCCTGCTGGATTTCAAACTCAGTTTACCATTTCTATTTATAATTGTACAATTGTGATGAGTAAAGAAAAATATGATCTTTTAAGTACATTACAGCTAAGTATAAAAGACATACAAGCAAATAAACTTGGATTTTTTCGTCTAGTCAGAAACCAGACAAGAATCCCTCCTTAATCCTACTTTAAATGATTTTTGTACAGATGTAAATAAAAGCAATGAAATGCATTTCTTTGTTTGTTAGTATGGGAATTAACGTTGCAGCTATTACAGAAAAAGTTATCATAACCCGCTTACGCGCGTTATGTATTTTTTCTGCAACAGCTGCAACATTAATTCCCATACTAACAACCAAAGAAAGCATTTTCTTGTTTAAATTAATTTCAATTATAGATAAATTATGTTATTTAGATTAAACCAAATACCTCCAACGATTTCAACTGCATCGATTTCTACCCAAGAGGGAGAAACAGAACAATCAACTTCTATTCTCAGCTCGTTCACAGGAAAATTCACTTTCTGAATATAATGAGGATCAATTAAGAGTTTATTAAAAAATATTTAAATGTTTACGATTTTATGATCTACAAATCATTTGTTGCTAAAACGATGCCGACTAAGAAGAGTGAAGGAGAGAAAATGGTCATTATATTTTCAGCTCTTTATCATATTGCTTGTATGTCAAATAACTAAGAAGGAAAAAACATGAAATTATTAAAACGAACAGGCATGAATGAATTTGTACTATATACTTAAACAGAAAATACATTTTTAAAAAACTCACTTTTATTTTGGGGGAGAATTTCCTAGCCTTTCTGATCATGATTGGGTGTACATGGGAAACCGCAAAAATTTCTTCCCACTGGTTTTCTTTATTCTTCGCCAAAATTCTCTTCACAGTTCCGGCATTATACGTTTCATATATATTAACCTCAGTTATCCAAACCTTTTCTGGAAATCTGACCTGGAAACAAATCAAAAGCATACTTAAAAATTACTTTTTTATCTTTAGCTTTTATACAATATTAGCTTCGAATTTGTAAAAGGAATGATACTTTCTTCCCAGTAAGAAACCTTTCAGCTGTGGATTGATCATCTTTGTTTATAACGGTGCAAAAACATTTTTTTTTAATTTGTTTATGATTTTAGATTATGCCATTCAAAGTTTTTTTCCTGTCTAGCGACCACCTATCTTTCAATAACCTATCTAGCTACCTATTCTAAAAACACACACACACACAAGCCAAAGCATAAAACACAGACTAAAAGGTCATAGAAATGACGCCATTCAAAGTATTTTGATCTCATTAATCTGTTCTTCTAAAAGAAATATCTAGTTTTTAGCATAATGATGCATTAAATGCTTAAAATACACATAATATGACATACTGTACAAATTTATTCGGAGAAATTGACAAAATTCAAAGATTTCTGCCAAATGAATCAATTTCAGGACTTCTGATTTTGTGCTTTTTTCTGATATGGGTGAATTAAAAAAAGAACACCAAATTGAATTTTTTTGGGAAAAAATTCAACTACCCATAACATATTTTTCACTTATATCAACATATTGAACATGCATTCTAGTTACAATTCCTGAAGTTGCAATAGAATAGACAATTAAATAAAAAAAGTTTCAGAATTTTTATTAGTAAAACTTTATTTGAAAAAAGAAAATATCAGTATATCCTAAAAGATTTTCTAAATACATAATCCAAAGAAATTATAGTTTTAATGCTTCAAAATGGTGTCAGTGATAAAAATGATTAGATCTAAATCTTGATTGAGTTTCTTCTCTTGCATATGTGGAATAAAAATTGACTTTTTGATTGTTATTTTAGATTATTTTTTTTTAATTCTGGTTTGAAAAGTTTTAATATGAAAAAAAAAATGTAACGATGAAATTCCCCCTAAATCATTTTTTGTCCATTTAAGTCAGTTCTTTAAATTTAAGCCAAAAAGAAGTTTGACATGCAATTTTTCTTACAAAAATATACTGGAATTTGAAGTGACCCTATGTTTTATTATTGTGTTGCACTCCTGACATCACACAATAACCCATTCTAAGTTTGTAAATCAGTTCGTCTTTTTGATATTTTTTTTTATCATTTACGACAGGTTTTTCATATTTTCAGGATTTCAAAACATGATTATTTGCATTGTGTAATATATATACATTGTATTAATAAATATGTGTTAAGTGATGAAAAGTATTCTCTGAATTGACTGTAAAATGTCTGTAATTAGTTGATAGACATAATGTTTTGAACATCAAATAGTATCAAGCATATTTTTCAATTTATTTTTTAATATAGATAGATGAAGATCATTGATAATTATTATAAAACAGTTTTGTTGCACTCCTGACTGCAGTAAAATTAAAAATAAAAACCACAGAAAACAAAAATTCATAAAGTGTTGGCAACATCAAGTGGTAACGAAATTGTGCAATAATTATAGTCCAATACCTCTTAATTAAAACACATGAAAGTATTTAAACTTGGTTTTATATCTTGAATTATACCTATTTATGTCAAAAAATAAGCTAAAATATATATTTAGAAGATATAATATATTTTATAGAATATTTTCCTTCACAGAACAAACACTTAAAGCAACTGAGCTCAACCAGGCACATTCTATCTATCTATCTATCTATCTATCTATCTATCTATCTATATATATATATATATATATATATATATATATATATATATATATATATATATATATATATATATATATATATATATATATATATATATATATATATATGATCAGCAATAACTTTAACGTATTTGTTATTTGTTACACTCCTGACCGAGAGCATAGGAGTCTCTAAAGTAGAATGGTGCAAGAAAAATTATATCAGAACTTGTTCTGTTGTTTCAGTGATTACTTGAACTTTATAACAATTTTTCCGTGTGTGTATTTTTCGCATTCTTAAAAAATTCGAAGAAAAGATAAAAACACATCTGAATTGATAAAATTGAAAAAGAGAAGGATTTTAATAATAAAACAGTCAATAATTTAGTACTACATTATTCAAATAGATCATTATTAATTAAAGAATATTTCTTAGCATGAATAGAAATCGTTTCATCATATAACTTGAATCTTTAAAAAATGTGTTGCACTCCTGACCATAGAAATATAGATCTGAAACACAGATATTCCTTTTAATTGATAAATCTACTTGGTAAAAATATTCTTTGTGTCCTTATTTTCCAAAATAAAAATCAGAGAATCATATACTGATAAAAGTTTTTTCATGCTGGGGAGCAAAACATCAAATGTTGCACTTCTGACATTATTGGGTATACACATATACTTGACTCTCATTAATGCTGCTTGTGATTTATGTAACATTTTTAAATTTAAATTGAATATGAGTAATTGATTTACACTTTGAAAATTCTTTTCTGACTAATTGTCTTTTGAAGATTTTTAAAATCGATGTTTTTTGGCAATACTACATTTTTTCTGTTGCACTCCTGACATGGTATAACATTTTTTTCAACATCAGCCATGACCACAACTTGGTCAAACAAAAGTTGCTACAGTCTATATCTGAAGCTCAATATTTTGAATATTATCGGGAGGGTCTTTATTTCCACCATAAACCATTATTATTTATTTCACAGACCTTGAAAAAATGTTGAATGACACAACTTGGTCGAACAAAAGTTGCTGCAGTCTATATTTAAAGCTCAATACTTTGAATATTATCAGGAGGGTTTTTATTTCCACCATAAACCATCATTATTTATTTCACATAATTTCAAAAAATGTTGAATTTTCAAAATGTCACAAAAAAGGTGTTGCACTTCTGATATTTTTAGCATCATTTTTGGGCATAATTTTTTTTTTTTTTTTTTTTTTTGTGAATTGAGATACATGGCAGGTATTTAGACACTATCTAAAGACATATGCTGAGACATAGAAATTTATTCCCATTGTCTGTTCTTTTAGTGCAGGTTGAAAAACATGTGTTTGGTCATTTTTTTTTATTCACCCACATGGTGGTTCAAAAACCAAGGCGCACAAGGACGCAAAACAGAAAAAAAAACTTGGAATGGTCTTTAAATAAGGAACAATTTTAGGTGAAAAGAATGACAATCACTGGATTAACTTTTTTCTTAAATGATATTTTACCTGTATAAATTGGTTCTCATTTAGTTGACCAGTTGCCTGTGTCCATGTCCCTTGGGAATCACCATAGCGAGGATAAACATTGGGTTTCCCCACTATCTGTTTTGCTGAGTATCTGTAAAGAAAAAAATGCAAAAACTATGAATATAGGATATTGAATTAAATAAAATTAATAAGATTTACTTATATAAATTACATCAGAAATTAGAAGCTAAACAAGCTGGATTTTACCCGGCTGTGTTGTGCTGTGACGAAAAGACTTCTGAGGCCCATTGGCGTTTGATGGCTGTCGTGTCACGTGAAAAAATCAGTCTTTCATATTATTTTTTTTTATACAAACCTTCCTTTAATTAAACTCATTTTCCCTTTTTTTCTTAAAGGTTAATTTTTGTATATTTGCTGAATGTACATTTCATTTCTTGAAATTTTAAGTCTCATGCGAATACTGATTACATCGAAAAATTAAATTAATAAATATTCTAGTTTCTTCTCTTGTGAGAAAGTTTATTTAAATAGTGAGACTTAAGGCCTATATACCTTTTGAAGATGAGATAATCAATATGAAAACGCACAGTAGAATCGTCATAGCTCCTTACCCCACAAAATAACGGCATCTGTTGTTGGACTAGTTATCCATTTAGTAGGTAAAATGTATACGTTTATTGTGAGTCATAGATCTTATCGTATTTCTTTTTAATGTGTGTAACATTTGTACAGTATTTTCAACTTCTGAAACCCCCCCCCCCCAAAAAAAAATGTTAAAAACATTTGAAAACTCTTAAAAGCATGTTTGAGAAACCAGCCAATTTCTTTTATAAAGTGAAGTTTTACACATAAAAAAAATAAAAACTATCCATTTTTTCTTTCCAAAATTCAGACAAAAAAGTTGCCAAAATACCAGAATTATGGTCCATATATAAATATGTTTAAGGTCAACAAAGTATTTTCATTATTGTTTTTCTTCATTTATTAACAGTTTACACGTTCACTGTTATCAAGTAGTATATACCCCCGGTAAATTCTTATGCATCAACAGTTTATGACAGAGAATAATACATAATATATATGATACGTCAAAATCAGACTTCGGCCCTCTGGCTGATATTGGTGGCTTGGGCTGATATAAGATGTGATATGGAAAAGAGTATGTATTATTCTCTATGTATGCTATCCCTTGAATCAAAGCTAGATCCGAAAGTATAGCATCGCAAAATAAGCTCCTATTTGATATGAATTTTGTTTGATTTTAATAAGACTATGTCCACTCCATTGACTAAATTGTAATAATTTCTTATTTTGCTTTACCTTGATCAGATTGTTCATGTGTTGATGGTTGCGTTATTTCTGAACACATAAAACTGCTGTTAGTGTTTACATATATAGTGTCTTAGTGAATGAAAACATGATTCGATTTGACAAATTAAGAAAAAGTTTTCATTTATTTATTTATTTTTCATCAACATCCTCATCGAAATTCATATCATAATAATAATATCTGGATAAATCCACTTTAAAATTCTACTGAATCTTTCTTTTTATTAGGTGTAAAAAAAAAAAAAAAAAAAAAAAAAACCTATAGAATTGCAAATTTACGTAAGCCTAATAGCAATTTTGAAAGACTGAAAAATAAAATGAAAAATAGATATCTATCTTATACATGCCCAGCTTAGAATTTTCATATCACTATCTCACACCATATAAAGTATACTAAATCAAGTTTCTATTTCTGGGGTCAATAATGTAAAAAAAAAAAAAAAATAAAATAAAATAAAAAAATAAGTACTCAGCGTTAGTGTATTGAACAGTTCTGAAATGACTAAATGCAATAAAAAATTTAGCTGTGAGTTTACCAAGTATGTGTTTTTAGCTCACCTATGCAGAAGGCTCAAGTGAGCTTTTCTTATCAAAATTTTTCCGTTGTGTGTCGTCGTTGTCGTCGTCGTCGTTAACTTTTCACATTTTCATCTTCTTCTCCAGAACCACTGACCAATTTTGACCAAACTTGCCACAAAGCATACTTGGGTGAAGGGAATTCAAGTTTGTTCAAATGAAGGGCCACGCCCTCTTTAAAGGGGGAGATAATTAAGAAATAGTGAAAATTTAGTGGCATGTTTTAAAAGAACCACTGGATCAGGAAAGATGAAACTTATATGCAAACATTCTCAGGTAGTGTAGATTCAAGTTTGTTCAAATCATGGCCCCTTTGGGTAGGGCGGGGCCACAATGGATGATCAAAGTTTTACATGGGAATACACAGGAAGAATCTTTAAAAATCTTCTTCTCCAGAATCACTGGGCCAGGAAAGATGAAACTTATGTGGAAATGTCCCCATGTAGTGTAGATTCAAGTTTGTTCAAAACAAGCTTGTTCAAACCAAGACCACCACCAGGGTTGGGGCAGGACCACAATGGCAATAAAAGTTTACATAGGAATACATAGGGAAAATCTTTAAAAATCTTCTTTTCAATAACAGCAAAGCCAGGAAAGATGAAACTTATGTAGAAACATCCTCAGGTAGTGTAGATTCAAGTATGTTCAAACCTTGACCCCAGGGGGGGGGGGGGCACAATGGATGATCAAAGTTTCAGGTATCTACACTCAGGTAGTGTAGATTTGAGTTTGTTCAAATCATGACCCCCAGGGGTAGGGTGGGGCCACAATGGGCGATCAAAGTTTTACATAGGAATAGAGGGGTCATAACTGGGGATCATAGTTATACAAAGGATATTAATGAATTATCAATAAAAATTTTCTTTTTAATAACAGCAGAAGCCATTATGTGTCATATCAATTCAAAAGCATCCTTAGAAAATGTAGATTCAAGTTTGTTCAAATCATACCCCCCTTTGCCACTTTTATATATAAACTTTTCAAAATTGAACTGATTTCTGCTTTTTTATAGCCAAAGTGCTCAGGTGAGCGATGTGGCCCTTGGGCCTCTTGTTTTAAAACCCCTGACGTTTCTGTAAATCCAGAAAAATGCAAATAAATATAACTAGCATTATATTGTAGTAAGGTCAGATTAATAAAATTAATTAAAATATTAAATGTGTTTGTTTATGTAATTTCAATGTTTATCTGGCCATGTGGTTGTGTTTTGTGTTCTGTGTAGTGTTTTGTCCAGTTTGGTAGTGCCATGTGATGTATTATTATTATCATAATTGAGGCCTTGTCCTGTCCTGCTATTGGTTAAGTCATTTGGTCAGTCAGGTGATACATGTATCCCATGCAGTTCATGATTTTCACTTTCAAGCCAGACCTTGGTCCTGATACATGTAGCAGCAGGTAAGATTTCCTTTACTAATTTTACTAATTTTGATGTTTAATCAATTCTCTATACTTTTGACTATGACATTTAAAGTTAATATAAAGTTTATCTAAAGCTTAAGATTTGAATAAGTTAATTATTTTGCTTGATTAAAAGACTTATTGGTTTTAAATAATCTGAATGTTAAAAAACTACATTAAAGTGTATGCAGCACCTTGAACTGTTTTATATTATTTTGATGACTAGGTGCTGGGTTACCATATGATAAGTTGATGCAAATACCGTATAGCGGGTTATTTTAGCGGGGTGCTAATTTTGGCTTATTTTGGCGTTTTGATAATAGCCCGCTAAAATTTTAATCGCTAAAATATTCAGTACTCTTCTTTGTGTTCATCTGCAAAGAGTTCAAACCCTATGTCCGCTAAAATAAATTACGCAAAAATTATTGGCATACCTTTGAGCAGGCAAAACGCCAAATTTTACACCCGCCAAGAAAACCCGCTATACGGTATATAAATCTGAATCAGTAAGCCTCCAGACACATTGTCTTTGGTAAGAACATGTATTATATATTTTAGATATTTTTATTACTTTGAATTAGTTAATGAAGCTATTTGTTATAAAGTATGTTTGACAAATATTTTTGATCTACCAAGCTTAATTACCAAAATCCATTTCTACCTTTATTTTTATGTTTTATCTGTAAAGCCTTGTGAATCTGTTCAGCTAAAATTAAGAGTTATTGCCCTTTATTCAGAATGCTGTACATTCTGTATTTATCATGAAGGAAAGTATAATGTTAAACATGTCATATCATTGTATTTCTCATGTGATATATGTCTGTTTATGTTTGTAATTACTTATTTGCAGATTTTCATGTATTTATAATATATTTTCAATTTTAGGGCTCAACCAATCAAGATGTACTAAATAAACGAATCGAACCCATACAGTAGTCTTATATTTATTGGACCTGTAACAATATTATGTCTTCATAATATTCCTGCTCTGGTTCAATTGCAATAAACTCATGGAAAAAGACACTGAACTGTTAAATAAGTTTGAATTTAGAGTTATCTACCTTTTTGATACAGTTTAACATTCATGTCATAAGCGCTTTGTTTCTGGATGGTGTATTGTGTGTTTTCCTAGGTGTGTCTGAATCTGTGAATACACTCATTAAAATAGAATTATAAAATCGCTGAAATAAGCACGTTTTAAAAATATCATATTACTGCATATTTATAAGCACTCTTTTTATATACAGTAATATATTTTTAAAACGTGCTTATTTCAGCGATTTTGTAATTCTATTTTAATGAGTGTATTCAGACACACCTAGAAAAACACATAATACACAAAATACACCCTCCAGAAACCAAGTGCCAAAAATCTCGGAGAATAAAAATGCAAAAATGACTTAGAACTTTGTCTAACTGTCAGAGGTAAATTTAAGGACATTCATCTAAACCCAACTTTAGGTTTATGTCTCAGTCCGAAATATAAGAAGTGGATATTTGTTTTAAATGACCCTGACCTTTGACCTTACCCAAAATTCAAAAATTTAAAGACGTGGTGTAAGATTCAACTCCCAGTTTATATCCCCCGATGAACCAGTGATAAATAGCAAGTTTTCATTTACGTGCCATTCTATCAACACTAAAACTGTAGCAGAGAGAGAAGACGGAGAAAAAATTCCCAAATCTTGATAAAAGTAAAACATACACTTTTTATAACTTACAAGTATTGGAAGAGGGTTCCTACTTAGGGTGAATTCACCATGCATCGGACACCCTTGCACTTCAACAGTTCTAGTGATATCGCTACCGATCGAATATTATCAAAATGGAACTTAACGTGTAGTATGTGGTTTAAATATAAATTTTTGACACAATCGCGCCCTATTTATTGAGAAAATATCTTTAAAGACCGATTTTTTCGAAATAAATCAGAATTTACCATGGATCGGACAATATTCACCATGCATCGGACATACGATATTTAAACCAGAAAAATATCATACCTTGATCTTGGTGCTTTAAAATTAGTGATATCGAAACATTTTTATCTTTTATTTAAAAATTAACCTTCT